TTTCAGCATCCATAACATAGCAATAATAATAGTACCTCCCTTGAGGGGTTATTTTAAGGACTGAGTGAGAATTTTTTAAGTGTGATCAGTGTCTGACACATAACAAGTTCTCAATGAAAAGCTGGTTATCACTATACTGCATTTAAAGTTAATGCTTTTATTTACAAATTATTTTTAGTTGTTAACAGCATAATGATCCAAATATACAGTCATTCCATTGTTTTTGTTTTGGATTAGTTTCTATAGAGTTAGCTTCTATAAGAATAATATGTGTCTTAATTTTATAGTATTTTATACTTTTTATAGTTTCTTTCCATGACATCAGAACACATGGCTTTCATAGAAAGTCTATATATTTCTGTGAGTCCTTTTTAGTTATATTTTTCTTAAATGCTAACAACAATGGCAGTTAGTAGGGCAGAAAAGGAGTCCCATTTTGGTTAGTCCTATAGCATAGAAGTGGTTATGAAAAGTTGGCCACAGGAATTAGGCTGAATACTGAAAGCAAAATTTTCTTTCAGAAGTAAAGGTGCTAGATTAATCTTTTTTTTTTGCCAACTGTCAAATAATTATTACATTTGTTTAAATATAGAAAGGTCTCTAGGGTATGTTTGATAAAAACTGCAGAGTGCAAAACAATGTGGAAAATATGTTCTGGTACACGTTTGGAAATAAACATAAACAGAAAGTAAATGTTGATAGAAATCCAGATATTTATAGATATATGTGTATGTTTATATAAGCCTAGAACATTTCTGGAAGGATTTACAAGAAACTGTTAGTAATGGTTGTCCTGGAGAGAATAACTGAATAGTGATGTTAGATGAGAAACATTTTATTACATATTTTTTAGTACTTGTTATATATTTTATTAGTATTAGACTTTTAAAATAAAATGCTAGTATAAAAATTACCACTATCATGATCAATGATCATTTATGAAATTCTTACCCACTGTAAGCTAAACTTTATATTTACAGAAAGTAATGTTCACAAGCATCTTGCAGGAGAAGCAGAAGTTATACAGCTTGTACAATGGCTTGAACAGAGCAAGTAAAGTAAAAAAAAACAGTTGTTTTTCCTGCTTTTAAGTAGAGTTTTCAGAAATTTATAATTTTTCCTGCTTTTAAGTAGAGTTTTCAGAAATTTATAATTCACAGTCACCAGTATAGGCATTTAGCTCTTTACTAACATAGAAAATAAAAAGGATTTATTCAATTACGATCTCAAATCACTGGAATTACAAATTCTGTCAATATCTACTGCACCTAGAGTTTCATTTAAGGTTCAGCCTTAATGTCTTTTAAACCTATTTTTTATTTTACCTATTAGGATAATTTTGTCATATAACTTTTTCTTACTTGGAAATTATAACCAAAATTTACACAAAATCCAACTCGTTTCTGACTAACCATGTTCTGCTATTAAGTATGAATATACTATTGCTATTACAGCTTTTAAAGGCATTATAATCATAGTTACAAAAAGTATTGCCTAGTTATACTATGTCAATTACCTTCTATTTTAGAACAATTTAGGTAAAACACAATTATTTATCTTTTTGCATTCAAAATCTGTATCTGAGTATAATCATGTAAGTGTCTGAGTATCATCATATAATGTTTCTTCTATTGGTGATTTCTACTTGAGATTTGAGGAACTACCATAAAAATGTCAAGGGCCACAAGGAGGCGGCAGCATAGCTATAGCACATTGCAGGTTTCACTACTTATATTTGAGGGAGATAAAGCAGGAAATAGCTGAGTCAAATTCATTAGCAAGCAATAAAGAGATCAACTGAAGAAGGCCCAGACTGCTACACATGGAAAAGCAGACTACGCCAAACAATTTCAGCAACACGAGAATGGGCCTGGCTGCAGAAATGTGCCCATTGTAGCAGATTCTGTGATTGAATATGAATTCTGCTCCTACTTGGGCTATGTGGATACCCCTTCATGATTTAATCAAGATGAAGTTTCCTGGATAACTGAGGGTCAAGTCTATAAAAAGAATAGCTTATTACTATACTCATTCAAAATAATTATTCAGAGCTAGACCTAATATTTAATGTTTCAATTTGCCCTTCCTTGGAGTCTGAGAATAAAAATGCTTTAAGTTAAAGTTTAGTCTTTAGTTTCATTTTATCTCTTCAAAAGCAATACAATATTCCAAACAGCTATCACTTTTGTCTAATGCAGCTGTAACATTCCTACTGTGTGGTCATTTAGATGGCTTTCTTTTTCTTTTTTTCTTTCTTTCTTTTTTTTTTTTTTTTGAGGTAGAGTTTTGCTCTTTTTGCCCAGGCTGGAGTACAATGGCATGATCTGGACTCACTTGCAACCTCTGCCTCCTGGGTTCAAGTGATTCTCCTGCCTCAGTCTCCCAAGTAGCCAGGATTACAAGCATGTGCTACCGTGCCTAATTTTTACTTTTTTATTTTTATTTTATTTTTAGTAGAGATAAGATTTCACCACATTGGTGGTGGCTGATCTCGAACTTTTGATCCACTCACCTCAGCCTCCCAGAGTGCTGGGATTACAGGCATAAGCCACCACGCCAGGGCTTTAGATGGCTTTCTAATCATCTGTTCCTTCAGAGCTTTTCTCCCTTATGAAAGCCATGGCTTTTGCAATTATAAATAAGCTACTTTTCTCTGTCAGGAATGTAGTCCTAAGAGCAATGTGAATTTATTCCATTTCTTTTTTAATGAAGTTAGAATTCTATTTTCTTTTGTTGTAAATTGAGGAAGTAGATGAATGAGAATATTTAAATTATGATACTAACTTTAAAAAAGGAGGCAGCTTTAAAAATTATCATGTGTGATGTGGTACTGTGGGATAGAATTTCAGGTCTTTTTTAACAAGAACTTTTGTTCATTTTAATTCTTCAGAAAAAAAATGAAATCTCTTTTTATAATGCCCTATATTTCTTCTCTTTCCGCCCTTTCTATATCTTGTAAACTCCTGGTGCCTGCTTCTGTCAACCTTCTTTTCCTTTTTCTTCTCCTTTTTCTGACATTTTCCTTTTCTTTCCTGCACATAGAAAAGGACAGGAACACCTCTGCCGGATTTCAAGAGTTCAAATTACCTGCCTTCCAAAAAATCTTCGTGGGGGCTACCATGTTGTCTGAAATTGTCGTATTGCTAACTTCTTTTGATTAAAGCATCAAATATGCCAGATAAAGTCTAAAACTTTTATCTATAAAGAAACCAGCCATTTGGCAGACTGTTGCTGATTTAGTAGACAGGACTAGCAAGGTCTGGTGGGGAAAGGGGATAAAGAAACAAAATTAACAACACGGGCTCCTCCTCAGGAAGTCACTCAGTCTCTCGGGGGAGGATCCAGAGTCAGGGACCCTAGAAGCTAAGGCAAATACATTTTGGAGATGGATTTTCTTGTGGAAGGAAAGGTGAACAGAACCTAAAGAAAGATTTTCCCTTTTATTAGCATCTTTCCTGAGAGTAGTATTCCTAGACTCTCTGGAGTAGATGATCACTTAAAAAAAACATTGAAGGAATGAACCGATGAATACATACAAAAATAACTGCTTCAGTCATTTTCTTCTCTCTCTTCAACTTGAGCAAGAGTAAACTCATTTGAATATGTGACATCTAATCATTCTCTTTAGTAGGTAATTATGTTCCATTAAGAATGATATTTATTTCAAACTTGTCTGCAAGAGCAGGAAGATAAAACTGATCAATATATTTTGGAGAAAGTTATGGAAGACAAAATCTACTAAGATATAAGATTAGAAAAAGTGCTGCCTCCTACTTCTAACAGACTTGGGAACCCTGGCTGTATTCCTTAAATAATGAAAAGTTTAGCCACTTCTGCTGCTTCTGTACTTAAATTTAATTTGGTTATTTTTATATGCTTAAGCACATTCAGGAGCCTCAGGCAAAGTTTTAAAGAGGAAGGGATAAAATGCTGAATCTTATAAATCTCTGCCCTCTAAGAATATAACAAATACCTGTATATACTAAAGGCTGGCACCCACAGTATTAACTACTGTGAGCACAAGTGTTTTGCTTTTCATACAGTCGACATGGAGACATTAATACTGATGTGAAACCAGCTCCAAATTCAGTTTGACATGTTTAACCAAGTGTGAATTAAATAGACTATAATCGTAAACAAGGTAGAACATATTGCCTAACATTTAGAGTTCGTTCTTTAGTTCTCTATCCTAAGTCAGAAAATTTGTGGAGCCCAGCACAGTGGCTCATGCCTGCAATCCCAGATCTTTGGGAGGCTGAGGTGGAAGGATCCCTTGAAGTCAGGAGTTCGAGACCAACTTGAGCAACATAGCAAGACACTGTCTCTACAAAAAATAAAGTCAGGTGTGGTGGTACATGCCTGTAGTCCCAGCTACTCAGGAGGTTGATGTGGGAGGATTGCTTGAGCCCAGGAGTTCAAAGCTGTAGTGAGCCAGGGTCTCACTAACACACTTCAGAGCTTGGGTGACAGAGTGAGACTTTGCCTCAACAACTAAAAAAAATTTTTAAAAGACTGGGTGTGGTAGCTCAGGCCTGTAATCCCAGCACTCTGGCAGGCCGAGGTGGGTGGATCATGAGGTCAGGAGTTTGAGACAAGCCTGGCCAAGATGGTGAAACCCCGTTTCTACTAAAAATACAAAAATTAGCCGGGCATGGTAGCAGGTGCCTGTAATCACAGCTACTCAGGAGGCTGAGGCAGAGAATTGCTTGAACCTGGGAGGCGGAGGTTGTAGTGAGCCAAGATCATGCCACTGCACTCCAGCCTGGGCAACAGAGTGAGACTTTGTTTAAAAAAAAAAAATCCAAAGAAAAAAAGCATCTGTGAAATGCTTTCTTGTGTATTTTCTATTTACTGAAAAGTAGGGACAGTTTTGTAAGTAAGATGGATGGTGTTTGAATAGACTTCTTTGACTGTTTCGCAGTCATAGTGTAATGAAAAAGAAGGAAATGACCTGAAGTTATGAATAAGGGAGGACACTTGCCTGCGTCCTTCAAGCTTACCTTTGCGAGTTGCTCGTGAATCTCAAGCAGGCTGGGTCGGTTGGCCTTGGGCCCACTGACGCTGCCGGTGTTGCGATAGTACTCAATCTTGGGAACCGCATCCATGGTGTTGTGGCCAAAAGTTTGTAGGTAGTATGTCTTTGTGTGAGAATCATAAGCATGAAAACTGGCATCTGTTTTAGCAGTGTCTCCACTTTGGAGGAAATTGTCATAGCACTCCTGATTCCCAGGCCTAAAGCTGATTCTGAGTCTTTTCTGAGCTTCATCCCCAAAAGAGGTTTCTTCATAATGTGGTGGATCAGTGTCATCATTTGCAGCTGCACTGCTCTCATGGTTCTCATTTATGACATTAACTTGAAAGCGATTGGTATTACTGGGCACTGAATCCAGAAATATATTGGAAGAGTTGTTCAGTGACATCTTCCAAAATTGATTTTTTAGTGAGCTATCTACTTTATGGTTGTTTAAAAAAATTTATATACTTCTTCCTCAAAATAAACACTAATGTGCTTCCATTAGGGAGCTCTTGGCTCTTGTTCTAGATGATTCAATAAATAGATTCTTGATATATTGTCTCCTATACAGTCTTCAGGATGTTCTTCAAAGCTGTCATTGAAAAAGAAAATTAAACTTGTTCCAAGTAATACAAATGTATTTAGGTAGGGGTGGGATATAAGGGAATAATTTTCTTTTACAAGACATATAGTTTTAAATTCTTTTTAGTAAAATTTATCAGTGCACTGGAGTTCACTATGACTCTAGAAAAGATGTAATTCTACCTACTGAATACAGTAAGAACTGATAAGAATGTTCTCAGCCTAAGACATAGTTGGCTGACAGTACTAAATGCTAAAACTGCAAAGTATTCTGATAGGAATGACACTACATGAAATACAAAGCAAAAAACCAAGACTTCTAAAAATATGTTTTTGCTAGTTTATAAAAATCTGTACATGTTCAATTAAATAGTTTGTTCCAAATTTTGTTACCTATGCAAGAAGTGAAAAATTATGTTTTAGAATATGTATGTAAAAAATACATCCCATCAGGATGATGTCTCTGTAAATTCTTGGATATTTTACTATTCTTTAAAACATTTCATTTGCTCATACATTGGTTTTGCAAATACTAACATGAAACCCTAAAAAAATTACAAGTATTTGGGGTAAAGAAATAAGTCACAGCCCTTAAAATGTCCCTAGCCATATTTAGGTAAAATACTCATGCTCTGCTGACTCATTTTAATAAAATGTCCTAAATAATTGAGTGGTTTATATTTGACTGTGAGATGAATAGACTTCATAATAATTTTCACAATTTCATAATACTGGCCTGTCTTAAAACACTTTCTTTAGAATTATGTTTCCTTATTGATAACTTAAAATTCGGCTTTTCAAGGAAAGTTCTAGAAAAATGAGATAAATATAAACAAAAATTTGCCTCTCTCCTGCAGTTATTAAAGCCGTGTCTTTGAATTAAACCCCTCAACTTCATTTCCCAAGTACCATTTCCTGGGGAAATTATAAGTGAGGCTATTATCATTTTAGTTTTTACAAAACAGTTCTCTTCATAGTCCTTGACACCCTCACCTACTCTTCAGATTTTACTTTATGACATAATATTAAGTATGATTTTTACCCTGCCCAGAAATGCTCAACTTACCACCAAGGAGCCTTCTTCTGAGGAAAGGTAACCTGCTTCAGCGTCACCCAGGACTATATGGGGCACTTAGCTTTCAGCTCAGAATGCTAGGCTTCTGCTTATTGGTTAGAAACTTTCTTGAAAGAGATGGCTGTCCAATGATTGGCCTGGAATAGTACTGTAAGCCCCACCCAGTCATTAGCCCTGAGGAACTGTAAGTACCATATCAACTGGTAACTTGTAGTAAATCATTAAACCTTTTAGACAGAAAGTAACATAGAGTTTCTTTAATTCATAAGGAGAATTGGATTGCTTAACAGCAATCATCCAAAAACTTTGAGCATTGCGTTAGTCATTTGGGACTAGATAAATTGAGTTCCACAATCTTATTTCAGATGAGTCCTAGTGACTTCCTATTGTTTAGTATGTGTATCAAAATACAGCTCTCCAGAGCAAATTTCTAAACTCTGTAACTAGAAAGTAGTATCTGAAATGATTTTATCTTGCTTGTAGCAGATATTACCTTGACTCTTCTGCCTGGGAAGTAAGCAGATTGAGAGTGGAATCAATGATTTATTGAAAACTTTCTACATATGGGAAAACTGTTTTTTGTTTGTTTCTGAGACAGAGTCTCGCTCTGTTGCCCCAGGCTGGAGTGCAATGGCACCATCTCAGCTCACTGAAATCTCTGCTTCCCAGGTTCAAGCGATTTTCCTGCCTCAGCCACCCAAGTAGCCGGGATTACAGGCGCCCACCACCAGGCCTTGCTAATTTTTTGATAATTTTAGTAGAGACAGGGGTTTCACCATGTTGGCCAGGTGGTCTCGATCTTTTGACCTCAGGTGATTGCGCTTCAGCCTCTCAAAGTGCTGAGATTACAGGTGTGAGCCAACAGGGAAAACTGTTTTAAGCAGGAATCAGACTGTGGGTAAGTATCCCAGTGGCACTACTAAAAGACCTTTATGTCTCCAACTGGAAAAACATTTTTTTGTCAAACTCAGTTTTTTAGTTTCGTTGAGGAAAAGGTTTTTCTTTTTCAGATCTGCGAGTAGGTGATTATTAACACAGCAGACAGTTCCTCTCTCAGGTCTGTCACTGATTTTCATTCAGGATGATTGAATGAGCCCTCTTTATTTCTTGTAAGAAACGATTCAAGTGATTTCCAGTTGTCTGGGTAGCTTGGTTGTGGTGTAATGCAGTGGCTAGGAGCAAGACTCAAGTCAGAAGGCCCAACCTATGTCCTGGCCCTGCCACTTGCTGTCTGTGTGAACTCAGTCAAGTTACTCAATCTTTCTGTGCTTTAATTTTCTTATCCGCAAATGCAGATGTGGATAATAATGGTATCTACCTTGTGGTAGAGTTATTGTGAGGAATAAATAAGTTAGTTTGCATATGGGGTTTAGATAACAACAATTTGTACCTAGTGCTTGCTCTCATTATTTTAGCACTATTTACAATTAGCCAGAGATTATTACTTAGCGCATTCAAGATTTTGAGGTGGATCATTCATTAGTGATTGGGATAGTTTTTTTTTTTTTTTTTTTTTTTTTGAGACGGAGTTTTGCTCTTGTTACCCAGGCTGGAGTGCAATGGCACGATCTCGGCTCACCGCAACCTCTGCCTCCTGGGTTCAGGCAATTCTCCTGCCTCAGCCTCCTGAGTAGCTGAGATTACAGGCACGTGCCACCATGCCCAGCTAATTTTTTTGTATTTTTAGTAGAGGCGGGGTTTCACCATGTTGACCAGGATGGTCTCGATCTCTTGACCTCGTGATCCACCCACCTCGGCTTCCCAAAGTGCTGGGATTACAGGCTTGAGCCACCGTGCCCGGCCGGGATAGATTTTATGTCTATAAAAATAAATGTAAAAGTAAGTTAGTGAACTGAAACAGGATTGTAGAAGTGTCTAGAGATACCCTAAGTAAAATCCTTTAGATTCTCTTCGTCAGGTAAATGTCATGCTAATCAGTCAGGCTAATACTGTGAGGCTGTGTCAGAAATAGAGACAGAATTACAAGGCTGTACCTATAACTTATTCTACTCTTAAAGGCCACCAGTATAAGGCATTTATCTGTTTTGTTTGTTTGTTTGTTTGTTTGTTTGTTTGTTTTTGAGACGGAGTTTCGCTCTTGTTACCCAGGCTGGAGTGCAATGGCGCGATCTCGGCTCACCGCAACCTCCGCCTCCTGGGCTCAGGCAATTCTCCTGCCTCAGCCTCCTGAGTAGCTGGGATTATAGGCACGCGCCACCATGTCCAGCTAATTTTTTGCACTTTTAGTAGAGACGGGGTTTCACCATGTTGACGAGGATGGTCTCGATCTCTCGACCTCGTGATCCACCCGCCTCGGCCTCCCAAAGTGCTGGGATTACAGGCTTGAGCCACCGCGCCCGGCGACATTTATCTGTTAAACAAAGGGTTCTGACTCCTCGTATAGAAAGTGTTTAGGCGTAGGAATGGCACATTTCAAATTCAGGTGGGTGGGGCTGGTTGTTTAGATCAAGACAAGGGACAGCTAGGATGGGGCTGGGACCCAAAACAAGTTCCAGTTCACCAGACCAGGACAGAAGCCATGAGCTGACATCCTCCAACCCTTTGGGGATCCACTTATTTACTCTGCAACCTTTTCCCTCTACCAATGACTGTGAATACTTCTGATACCAGTCGATTTCTTTTTCTTTCTGACTGACTGCCTGACTTCAAAATAGTACGAATTTGTTTTAGTCTTGATCTTACATCAACCAGACATTTTCATTCTAAGCCTTTTATCTCTCACGGTGAAATGAAAGTCTTTGTTCTCTATTAAGGGGATTCAGGCATCCTGGGACAAACGGGAGATAGTTTTCGTGGATATGGATGAAATTACACTATCTGTAAAGCCAACCTTGAAAGGTGAATCTGACTTAGGCCTTTCAGATGTGTGGGAAAAGTAACAGAAGCAAGCTATCTTGAGGTATGCTCCTCTATCTTTCCTCCTATCCTCTCTGACAAGGCTTTTGGGAAGGGGAAGCTAGAGGCTGATCCAGGAGTGACATTGAACATCTATTCCTAGAATAATTAACATTTCATGAAATTTTCATGTTGTTTTCACATTGTAACCAGCCTTTTATATTTTTGATACTGTTTCTGGTTCTGAAACTACAGATGCTGACTTTCTTACTGCCTCTAGCCCCTCCAAAAAATCTAAGGCACCCAATAGACCACGAATAAAAACCACAGATGAAGACTCTTTTGGTTAATAGAATTTTTCTTTAGTGGGATTTGGAAATAATATTATGGTAGAGTTGATATACTTGAAAAGCTTATGGGAGTTGAACTTCCAGAAACAATGCTCATATTGTATAAAGTTTTCCTGCCTCTTGGTTGTAAGGGTCTTTCTTCCTTTGAAATAAAGGTCTGGCCTTGTGTTGTTCTAGTCATCAAAATGGAGGGTCTTCTCTGGGAGACAAATGAAACACCTGGTACTTTAAAAGCCTCGGTCTCCAAAGAGACGTCCAGTTTCCCGGCACACGCAGCTTTCAGTATGTTCAGCTGAACTTGGACCAGTGACCTGTTCTTGGGCCAGGTTACTAACTGGCTATGAGGTGTACCAGGCCTACATTCTTGAACCAATTAGGTCACAAAGAGCCTCCCTGAGGTGAGGATTTGGTTTAGAAGAGCCACAGCTAATTATAGATATGTTCTAAATCAATTATGAGATGGAAAGCATCAAGGAATCTCATATAGAGACAGCTGGTTTTGAAATGCCATAGACTTGAGCAGTAAGCATGTCTATAAGCTATATAGAAGTATTGAGGACATTGTCCAGGGATACAGCAGAAATTAAACTGCCCAAGTTCAATCCCTAACTTAACCATTCCCTAGCTATGATGACCTTGGGAAGTTAGTTAATTTCTCTCAGCTTCAGTTTCTCTTCTGCAAAATTAAGATTAAAAATAAAATGGAAATAGTAGTCCCAAACTCAATTAATTGATAAGACTATCAAATAAATTGAAAGTAACTAATTTAGTGCTAACTCTTGGTAATGTTATGCTTGTTTCTTCTTGGTATGTTTTGTAGTTCTGTATTTTCAAAGGACATAAATATTTTTGTATTTATCTTCTGCTATGTTTCTCCATTCTGACTCATAGAGAGTCAGAAATTGGTAGTTGGAAACAATTTTTAGAACTATATAATTCTATCTTTTTATTTCATTTGAAGAGAATGAAATACTAGAGAGTGAATAATTTATGCTAAGCCATTGCTTCTTAGAGTTTAAGAATCTCTATTACTGCTGCTGATGAAGAGAATAAATAATGATAGCAAAGTATATGTAGATACTGTTTTATGGTTTACAAATTGCTTTCACATTCATTATATCTAATTGACCCTCTAAATATTCCTGAAGATATGCAAGATGGCTTTCTTAATTCTTATTTTGGAAGATAGGTTCCCCTTAGGTAACTTTCTGGGTCATAAAGCTAGTTCTTGGCTAAGCTAACATTAGAATTCAAATCTCTGGGTTTAGGCTCCTAATCTGAAAAAATTTTCATGACACATTAAATTCTCATTCATTTCAGATCTCTGGGTTTTCAGGTACATTTGTAGCATTCATAGGGCACTAGAATTGGAAAGGATGTTAATGATTCTCTTCCTTGAAGCCCACAGAGACTAGATGACTTACTCATCAGAGCATAGCTCTAATGGTGGCACAGCTGAGACTGTGTTTATTTCTGCTTAGAGTACTCCTTCTACTAGGTCATGCTGGAAACTCCCTTTTAAATTCTATTTATGCAAGGGGAAGCAGAGGGAGCATCAGTATGAGGCAGGTCTGGTTTGGATTCCAAGCTATGGGACTTTACTTCAAGAAATTAAAAAAAGAGAAGAGATAGGAGGGTCAGGGCTTTGTGAAATTTGGGGACTTTTAGGGCCTGTGATTACTTGTAGGCTTTGAATGTTAGTTTTTGAGTTTTTTTTTTTTTTTTTAAATTTGTGGACCTTTTTGATCTATGGCTATTATTAGAAAAATAATATTCTGATTATTCTTCAGACTAAATTTTCTTATGTTTAAAACCTGACTCACTAAAGCTAAAGGGG